ATCACCATCACAAACGGCATGACCAGTATCTTGGAGTACCTTGCTGAAACAGTATTATGTAACATAGGCATTTTTTGAAGAAAAATCAAATCTGCACAATACTTGCCAAACAAAACCTACGCTACGATCAGAGATGCTAGGGTCAGAATGGAAACTCTGCGTACGGCACCAAATTAAATCCACAAATCTCTCATAATGCATTCAACAACGAAGACTTTTACTTTTCTCATTCGAAGAAATAAGCTATCCGTCTCCTCTTTTTCATTACACAGCTCGAATTCGCTCTCACTACAGCTGGATTTGAAACTAAGGTTTCGCCAAAGGCGAATCGCCTATCACATAGTTACAGGATGAAAAAAAAGGACTGAACACACAAAACATGCAGACGCAAGGATACCAAGAATACCGAAGAACTACTTGAAGCGACACGCAGTCACCGGCCGAGGATGCGGCATGCAAATTCCCTAAACAACAGCCGTAAACAATCGTTGAGTAATTTCCCGCAACTTGACATTGCTGCTTTGGAAGAAAAGCATCTGCTGAGTCACACACAAACGGTGCGGGGGGATGGCCGGTAACTACTTGCTAGCAAGGCTGTCGATGGCTCCCTCTTGCTAGGTTTGTCCAGAAGTACACTGATGCTTATTTGACTTCCTGCACCAGCCACTACCAAAGTATTACTCAACAAATCAACGGACTGCACAGGACAAGTCCCTTCAGTAATCGGACCGAAACATCACCGTCGTTTGTGGTAACACAGCGCCACTTACAACAACCTCAAACTAGCGGCAACAGGGCCCGAGAACCACTAACCACTATGCACCACAGAATCAGCTTCTGAACGGCATGCTGCTGTTGCATAATGTGTCAAAATACAGGCCCTTTCGATGAGATTTATCAGAGACTACATGAGAATGCCGGACGCACAAATTTCGATTGGTGGTTTACGCGGGAAACAGAAGCGCTGCTCTTTGGCGCCCTGACGAGGGGGTGCCCAAACTGGCCCAATTCAAACGAGAGACGAAACAGTTAGAAAACGAGGTCAGCCAACAAAGCCCCGGAGGAGTCCAGCCAAGAAGCACTAGCAACAGCCAGAATGTTTCATCGTCAGAAGGCGAACAAATGAGCCCAGAAACAACAGCAAACCCCCTCCCACCTCTCTCCCTTCCCTTGCCCGCGAACGTCATTAATTCTTTTATAGGTCACCGATTAAAAAAAAGAAGCGATAAGAAACGAACCTATCAGATGCCACATTTT